AAAAAAAAAAAAATTCATATGGAAATGCAAGGGACTCGGAATATCCAAAACAGTTTTAAGAATTCTGAACGTAGTTGGAAGACTCATATTTCGTGATTTCAAAATTTTTTATAAAGCTGCAGTAATCCGGACAAATTACTACTAGGATTACGAATAGAGTTACAGGCTGAAACGATAAAGACTGACTATTATTTTCATATAAGAACTATCTTTGTGGTAGCCCACTCCTCCCTAACCCTACCAAGAAAAAAGGAAGAACTGAGAATTCAGAATAAACCCCTACTTATGGTCAACTGATTTTTCATAAGAGACCCAGAGACTGTTATTAGTGAATAACAGTCTTTTCAACAACTGGGGCTCTGACAGCTCATTCACATGCATAAGAATAAAGTTGGAACTTTATCTCAAACCAAAATTAACTCCAAATATATCAGACATTTAAATGTGAGAGGTAAACTATAAAACACTTGGAATAGGGGCCCCTCCTGGTGGCACAGCAGGTTAAAGCGCATCAATAAGAAGCTAAAGCCACTTCAGTATGAGTTCAATCCCTGCTTCCACCGGAGGTGACCACATGGCACTGCAGACCTCTCCTGATGGGCCCGCTGCTCCCCTCAGCAGTGGACTTCGTCAGTCGGCCTGTTCTGTTCCCCCACTCTATCTCTAGGGAACCCTCTCACCGCCCCTGTACCTCTGGCCTGTACCCCAATTCTGTATGCATCAATAAATAAATCTTAAAAAAAAAAAAAAAAACACTTGGTCACTTTGTGACCTTTAAGTGATTTTTTTAATGTATGACAACAAAAGTAATTGATTAAAAAAAGACAAATTTTGTGCTTTAAGCGATATAATCAAGAAAGTGAACAGATTGGATGAAAGAAAACTTTTGCAAATCATAAATGTATAATCTGTAACACAAAGTCACAACAAGATGCCACTTTATATTCTGAGGAATGTCAATACTTAAAAAGGACAGATACTAAGTACTGATGATGCAGAGAAAACAGAAAACTAACACATTGCCAGATGAACTGCAAATTGGTATAGCTGTTTTGGAAAATAGTCTGGCAGGTTCTCAACAAATTAAATAGTTAAACCATAAGACCCAGTGATTTTACTCATGGGGACACACCCATGAGATATGAAAACATGCTGACATGAAAATGTATATATAAATGTTCATGGCAGCATTTTTATAATAGCCTCAAAGTGGAAATAATCCAAATGTCCACCCCCAGGTTAAAAAAATAAAACATGGAATAATATTAAGCAATAAAAAATATATTGAAAAAAGAAATGAAGTACTAACAAGGATAAACTTTAAATATTAAACTAACTAGAAGAAGTCAATTACAAAAGACCAAATTGTATGATTTCATTCATATGAAAGATCTGGAATAGATAAGTCTATAGAAATAGAAGTATTAGTGTTTGCCTAAGGCTGGGTCAGAGGAAAATGGGGATGGTATGAAAGAAACTAGCCAGAAATCATAGTTGTAAAATTCTGCTATACTAAAGCCCATCAAATTTTAAATGGATGGGTTCTAAAAGGAAAAAAAAATGATTCTTCTAAGCACTGAAAATTGGAATATTATCAAATGGTAACTGTTAACTACATTTAAGTGTGATAATGGTATTGTGCTTTGTTTAGAAGCAAAAATATTTCTCATCTTCTAGAAGTGCACACTAAAATAGTTGTAAACAAAATGATAGAATGTCTAGGATTTGCCTCAAACATGGGGAGAGTAGGTGGCAGAACAGATGAAACAATATGGCAAATGTTGGGTCTGAGATTTTAACATAGTGGTTAGTACAATGTTACTTTTGCAAATATTTGAAATTTTCCATAATGAAAAGCTCAAAAATGACAGGCACTTACTAGATCACATGTGCCAGTTATCTTCAGCAACCTTAAGATCACCAACATGCTAACATTACACAAAGGCTAAATATACAAAAAGTATTAACAGTAACTCTAAAATGTCATGATTCTTCCTTGGTTTCTGGAAGACAATTCAGAGTAATGCTAGAATACATAAATTAATAACTTAAATTTTATGATTTTTTCAGTTGTTACAATTTTTGTTTTGATGTTAAAAGAAAGGGTGATTTCACCACAGCTGTGTCACAGAAAGTGAGACTATAAAGATTCTCTAGTTCAGGGATACTATTATTATCATTCTCAGCATTCCATTTGACTAAGTACTGTATGAAAAGCTGTATCTGTGCCTATTTAAGGACTCAAGATTTAACATGCTTAGGTGGCCCAGACAAACATTTCCTATAAAAGATCAGACAGCAAGTATTTTTGGTTTTGTATCAAATCATATGAGGCCTGTTGCAACCTCAGCTCTGTTATTACAGTATGAAAGCAACCATAAACAATAAGTAAACAAATGAGCATGACTGAGTGTCAATAAAACCTTATTTACAGTTACAAGTGGTAGGCCAGATCTGGCTCTGTGTTGGGAATGACTAGCTCTTGGTGGGAATTTGAAGATAAATATATGCTTTAAACTATACACTGGTAATAAAAATCTCCATGGTGCAATACACACTTGTTCATAAAATAGTACTTACCGGTGTTTGTATCATCATGGCTCGTTGATCTCTCATTGTTCTTACAATGTCTAGTGGATAAACGGGTTGATTGCATTCAATGAGACACATGGCTGTTTCCATAGTAATAAGAACCCCAGTTCTCCCAATCCCAGCACTAAAAAAGACAAATATAGGGCAAAGTCTTACTGACACTATTCTGTTAAAACTTCTTGTGGGTTTGATGTAGAAATTTAAAACAGTCAATCATAATACAGAACATTTTCATTTTAATGTAGCAAGTCCACTAGAAAAAAAAAACACTAATACAGATTAAATATTTTTATCTGTCCTCTCACTACTGTTAGTTATACTGATAGTCATTATTTCAAAATATTTCAGATTTTAAAATATAAAAAACAGAAGTTTACTGGAGCAATAGCCCTTTAATGATAACAACAGAATTTCAATAATCATTAGCAAATGCACATTAGATAATATTTTACACATTCAAATAAATCAGTTTTAAAAATTAAATTTAATTTTGATTAAACTTCAACACTGAGTCAGGAACAACTTTTTGAAATAATTCTCTGTGAACAAAGATATAGTAGTATTTGATATGGACTAGCCAAATATATTCACCACTCCAATCATTTTGCCTCTCAAGCATTTAGTTTACAATCTTTAGCTAAGTTGAAAGTCTGCTCTTCAAAAAGTGCTGGGAAGTTTAAGAATTAAGAGATAGATCACAATACTCCTGAATAAAATCACTTACTAAAAGTGGCAGGGGTAGGGAGAAAATAATTTGTGTTTCCAAATCTTTGGGTTGGCAGCAGTAAAGGCTAGTCACTGTATTTGGGGAGGCACAGTATCTGCCTTTTAGTGAGGCAAAGTCTGAAACGAAGGACAGATAGTCTGATACTGCTTACGAGTAAGTTTTAAAAGGCATATCCTGAAAGGGTATTAGGTTGGGCCTTTCCAAGAAAGGTAAGTGTACTTATTAACTGTCCTCAGGCTGGCATCCAGCCAGGAAAGAGCACTGTGCTGGGAGGGAAAATTCTAATTCTTTTGCTGCAAACTAATGTTACAATATTCTATTTCAACAAATCTAGATTCTAACAATTATAAGACACATTGCAATTTCCTAGATGTTAAACTATAAAAAAGATAAATTTCTAAGTAGTACAATAATGTATTTTCATTCATGTTAATGTTCTGTCAATCATATGTTTGAATATACCCTTTGCAGTTGAGTTCTCTCCTTCATATGACAGTCACAACCTAGAGACGAAATAAAATGCACAATCTGTTTTAAAAATGAGGTCTCTTTTTAGTTACTATTTGTGAAAAAAGATGATAGTATACCTGCAATGAACAACAATAGGTTCTTCTCTGCCAGCCCTCTTATTTCGTACGTGGCAAACAAAATCCAGAAAGTCACTTGAATCATCAGGGACTCCATGATCGGGCCAGGCTGTGTACTGGATCTGAGTAAGTTGACGACTCTCATTTTTCTAAGTGTAAATGAAAAATTATATGCCTTGACTTAGGAATTATCTTTAAATATAAATGCACATATCATTTTAACATTAGAAGAAAAGCAAGAAAAACTACACCCTTTACCTACCAAAAAAGTAATGGATAAATTCAATAAAACCTAAAATTACATTGAAAAGAAAAGCAATTGTTTTACAGAACCAGTTATATTCATTTACATATCAGCTACTTTGATCATTACCTTCTTAAAACTAAATGTCTATATTTGCAAATTATTTTAAAAGTGATAAACAAGAAAAAACTAAGATTAGATACTTAAAGACAATTAAAGAATTTGTGAAATGAACAAAAATTGTAAAAATTTTTTTGTATCAAAGTTGAGCTAGTATTCATAAACACAAGTAAAACAATGGAAATCAGGAAAATAAAAATCTGAAAATGTAGATTAAAAATTGGAGATCATAAGAAAAAAGTCAAATCAGGACTTCATTTTTTTTTTCTCCAAAGCTAAATGGTGGTGTAATTAAGAAAAAAAGATGTTGTATTTCTATATCTCGTTTCAAATCTTGACTCTAGCAGTTAAGGTATTTAATCCCTATTGCTACTGAAAGGAAATACTATATATGCCTCACAGGGACAAGCTTATGATGAAAGGACTCTTATGAGAGAACCTACACATCATTCAGTCATATACATGCTCAATAACTGGTGGCTAGTCATGCAACATGATGAAATCTGGTTAAAGTCATTTACACTGGAAGCTGCTCCCTGATAAGACCATGAAAGTAAAGGTAATTGAGGAAGGGACAAATGAATGAAAACTTCCTAACGAGACCTCAATATAATCTGGTAAGTAATTTTTCCTAATTTTATTATCTTCCTTTAATTCTGTAAAATGAATTGAAGGCATCTAACACATTATTATTAACAGAAGAGTTTGATGTTGGGCATTCCTGGTGGTGCAAAAGGTTAAGTCCCAGCACTACCAAGCTACCCTCAGCCACTGCAGCCCTGAGTTCGATCCCCAGCCAGGAAGCTGACCCACATGGCACAATAGACCTCTCCTGACCCAGCCACTGCACCTCTCAGAAGTGTATTTCAGGGGATCTGCCTGTTCTGTTTTCCACTCTGTCTCTAATGAATCCTCTCACCCCATGTGGGATATACCTTTGGCCTATACCTCAGCTCTTATACACATAAATAAATAAAATAAATCTTAAAACACACACACACACACACACACACAGAGGATAGTTTGATGTTACCTGTAGTCCCTAAGAATGGGTAATAATTAAACAAACTCTCATATGCTCTTTCACCAAAGTTCTTCAACTGAAAATAACATCATTTTAAATTTGAGGATAGTATCTTATTTATCCATCCATCTTTTCATTCCTCATATATATATTTTCCCAGTTCTGCTCAATTTTCCCTCACTTGGTCTAAATTTGTATTCTAGCATAGTTCTGAGGTACTCAGGATTTGAATAGAAAATCCGCCATGGATAATCTGTAAGTGCAGCACAACAAAGAGATTATGCTGAAGATATAAATATTATACAATCTATTTTTCTTATCCTTTGGGAAAATGAAGAAATATCTTATTAGTTTGCCTTGTCACAGTAGATCAAGGTATATACCTGAAACCTAAATTCATACTAATGGAATCTCTAGTCCATAAGAATTTGAATTTATCAAGCAGTTTCCATTTCTAGCACTGGATATGGAAGCCAAGGGGACTGACCCATGTAATAGTGAGGACTATCAATTGAAGAGCTATTATCTGTCTTTTTTTTTTTAAATGACCTTTTTTCTCCATAATACTGAGGACTATCAATTGAAGAGCTATTATCTGTCTTTTTTTTTTTTTAATGACCTTTTTTCTCCATAATACTGAGGAGACTGTAAAATTGTTCTCAGGTCTACTCTTAAGAAAAGGGAATAATAAGATAGCTCTTAGTTTTTCTTTCCAATTCCACAGATGCACTCAAATACTTTACTGATATTACCTTGAAGAAAAATCCCTACACCCAAACATATCCCTAATATAATTTTTATGAAAATAAAATAGTAAGAGTAACAGGAATTAATCACTATTCTTTTACCACTGACCATTTATATCACGTATAGAAATTACAAATATAGTTATTTTCCCCAAATACTCCAATGAAGCAAATAGTTCAGTAATACCTTATACTATTTCCTAATAACCAGGATTCAGATGAAAAACATTTCCGATTTCAAAATCTTTACCTTGAACATAACAGTTCTAATGAATGGATATTCTACCTTCCTACCTCTTGGTTAAATAGTGTCATCTTCCTGAAGATATATGCAGTGTTTCCTTCTTCTGAGTGACAGGTGACTTGGTAGCATCCATAGGATGAACTTCCTGTAGGTTCTGGCCAATACTGGTGACACTTAACCTGACATCAACAGATTTAATATAAAATTTAGGCTTTCCAATTTTTTAAATATTTTAATTTAAAAAATTCAAACATACAGAAAAGTTACAAGAATAATTTTAATGAACTCTCTTCACCTCAATCTGTCACCTCAATCTATAAATATTTTTTGCTATATTTATATTATTATTATTATTTAGTTATTTATTATTATTATTTAGTTAGTTATTATTTATAATAACTAACCTGCTAAAATATATTATTATTAGATTGTAAATTCTTGTTTGCAATACAATTTCACCCAATGTTTTACCATTCATGACTAACTCTTGCTTCAATCAATACTACCACAAAGGTGGCAAACAGTGCCCAAATTCTGATATTTCTTAGATTAAATTAATAATGAAATAAAGAACCATGAACTAAAATGCCAAACATCCATACTTTTGTTTCATAATTAAGACTTCCGGGGCCTTCCCAGGTAGTGCAGTGGGTTAAAGCACAGCACTATGAAGCTATCTGCAGCCACTGCAGCACGAGTTCCATCTTTCCTGTCTCGCTCACTGCTCCCTTCAGCAGTGTTTCAGTCGATCTGCTTCTTCTGCTCCCCACTCTGCCTCTGGTGAACCCTCTCACCTCCCACATCTCTGGCTTGTACCCCAATTTTTGTAAGCATAAATAAATCAATCTTAAAAAAATAATTAGTACTTTCAAAGAACAACTTTACTAATATAATTCACATGCCATGAAATTCACTCATTTAAAAGTATACAATTTACTTGTTTTTTACATATTAATAAATCTGTATCACCATTCCCATAATCACTTTTCATCACTCCTAAATGAAATCCCATAATTATTAATAATCACTGTACATTTTTATTCTTCTATCTTACTTTTCTTCCCTAACTCTTGACTGAGAAAATCATTACTCTATTTACTGTTCCCCTGGACCTGCCTGTTCTGGATATTTCATAATACGGAATCACACAGATGCTACTGCTCATCTAGCAAGCTTTGTAGGTTCATTCATGTTGGAGCATGTGTTAAATCCTTTTTCTTGCCAAACAAATATTCTACTGGATGAATATAAAACATTTTTATTATGGTATATATAAACTGTTTCCCTTTTTTGGCCACAATGAATATACTATTACAAACATATACAAGTTTTTGTGTGACCATGTTTTCAATTCTCTTGTGTATACCTACAAGAAAAATTATCGATTTATAGGAACTCTTTAGTGTTTTGAGGAATTAACAAACTGTTTTTCAAAGTGGCTGCACTAATTTACAAATCTACTTGCAGTATTGGATGGTTCCATTTTCTCTATGTCACATTAATACTTACTATTGGCTCTCATTTTAAATTTTCCTAGCCATTTTACTAGCTATAAAGCCATCCTACTAGATATAAAATGGCGTATCATCGTGGTTTTGATTTTCATTTTCCTGATGACTAATGAGCTCAGCAGGTTTTGATGACCTCATTGGCCATATGAATATCTTCTATGGAGAACCATCTACTCAGTTGTTTGGTGATTTTTAAGTTGAGTATTTGTTATTTTATGGTTGACTTGTATGAGTTAATTTATCAAATATATATTTGATAAGATATATCAAATATATCTTTATATTAATCCACTTAAATAATAACAATGCTTACAATGGCAAAAACACTATCACATTTATTATGTTAGTCATATTTTCCAGCACTTAAGCATGACACCACAGGAAAGGAAGTTTAAAGGTTACAAAAGAGACTAAACCAATGTAAATATTTTGACTACATATACAAAATAATTAATAAAAACAAGGAGGATATAAGATTTGAGTATGACTTACTCTCCCACGTTCAACTTGTGTGGTCAGCATCACAACCATAGAGGAGCCTTGTTCCCAAGTCATCTGCCAGAAATCCGAACAAGTGTGTGGTAATGGCCCTTGACAGGCAATGTACTGATTTATAATGCTGGAAGAAGGAATTTCCATCTAAAAAAAAAGGATGTAAAAATAAAGTCTTTTGCGGGCCCTCCCTGGTGGCGCAGCGGGTTAAAGCACAGCACTGAGAATCTAAAAGCCGCTTCCGCATGAGTTCGATTCCCGCCTGCCCTGGAGGAGACCACATGGCGTGGCAGACCTCTCCTGACCCGCCCGCTGCTCCCCTCAGCAGTGTACTTCGTCGATCTGCCTGTTCTGTTCCCCACTCTGTCTCTGGTGAAGCCTCTCACCGATCCTGAGCCTCTGGCCTGTACCCCAGTTCTGTATGCATAAATAAATAAATCTTTAAAAAAAAAATAATAAAGTCTTTTGCATTGTTACTTTTTCTGTGATAAAGCCTATGAAAACCACCCATTAAATAACTGAATACAATTAATTTCAATAAACTGTAAAGTCAATAAAACAAATCTTTATCAACAATTTCTTACTTTATCTGTAGAAGAAATATCTTGGCAATGGCCAGCACCTATACCTATTTATCTTTCAACTGGTGGAAAAATGTACTTCATGCTTTTACAGAGTAGTTAGAGGGAACACTGTCAGAGTTAGAGACTGAGCAAGAAATAAAAATAACGTCTTGGAAACAGTTTATTGGTAAAATTTCTGAGGAATAAAATATTATTAAATTATTTATTAAATTTATTACTTTCAGACAGGAGATATTTGGAGAAGACAAGTCGTTTTCTTATTACATTTTAATTAAAGAAAAAAAAAAGGAAAGTGTGACACGTACATCTGGCAACTGGAAGAACACCAAGAAGTAAATAGAGGAAGTCCTTCCCATCCCAGTCTCTAGTTGCCACCCAGAGGGTATCCATTTTTCTAATTTCTAATATGTCCTTTCAGAAATATTCTATAGATAAAACATAAGTGTACATGCAAAAAATTCTTTTTGCCTGCAAAACATAAATTATAGCATATTCTGCATCTTTTTTTCTGCATTTTATCTCTGCGATCATGTCATAGTAATACACCCTTTTAGTGGTAAAATATGCCATAAGTTCTTTAACATTTATTCTAATTGCTAACATAAACAGGGCAGCCCTGAATGCTTTTTAAATCTTAATGTTTTTGTAGACATGAAGAAATCTATTTGTTGGAAGAAATGAAAATGCTGGACCAAAGTATATGTAAGTACATTAAAAATTTTTATGCATATCATCAAATTTGTCTCCACAGTAGGTAGCATTAATTTATACTTCCACCATTAACATGCAAGGAATGCTTGTTTCCTGTTCAGTTTCCTGATATATCCATTAATTCCTAATTCTGAAAATATCAATATTCTAAAGTGTAAGCTTGTACTTTTTTTTGGGGGGGGGGTACCTGGACTTATTTCACAGTGATAGCTGACCTAAACTGAGCTAAGACTTTTTATTATTACTAATGGTAGTAATTGCTTGCTGTTGATTGTTAATACTCTGATTTCAGGTGAGGTTTCAATGCGTGTAGGAGATATACCTGGTTACTTTATATGGTGCATGCACTGAATAACCTTTGAAAATTAGGGAAAAAAATGAATCATGAAGTATATTTTAATTTTACCCCAACATTTCAGATAAAGGATATAGAGTACACATGAAATTAGAAAAAAAAAACAAACCTGATATTTCAATCTAACTGATGAAAAATTCCTTATAGTTTTAACTTGCACTTTTTGTGATATGCTAAATTCATTATTTATTCATCTGTCTGTTCCATTTAAGATTTTTATAAGGTATTATGGCTTTGATATCAAAATAAAGTGACCTATTAAAAAGTATATACTTATACTTAAACAATCAACCTTCATTATTCATGGATTCTGTATTTGCAAACATGCACAAAGAGGTTGAAAAATTGGAGTCACTTGATGTGCACATACACTTATAACGCTAGTCTTGTTTCAGCTCTCATATTGTAAATGAGTGTCCTTGTTGTGGTCTTTTTGGTGTCACATTTTAAAAACATTTATGCTTGTTGGTGGTGATTTCAGGGTTTAAAATGGCCCCCTAAGAGTAGAGTTGCAGTAAGAAGACTGTGCTGTGTCTTGTCGATAAAATACATGGTAGGTAAGCTTTCTTTGGGTATCACATAATTACAGTGATGTTGGTCAATAGTTCATTGCTAATGAATTAACAACTATATTGACGTATCTTTTAAATAGAAACAAAGTTTTATCATGATCAAGGGCAGCTATCCCTATATGTTCCCTGGAAGCAATGACTCCATGTTTACTAATTGAGTGTTTGTGAGGACTTTACTAACTGCTTTTACAAGAAAATGAGATATTTGATATATTTGGGCTTAAAAGATAATCTTATGGTGGTGCTCAGATGAAATAAGACTGTCCAATGGTGGGGAGAAAAATATAAAAGAAGCAAGACTTCTTTTATATTTTATTAATAGCTCTTGAAACTGGATAAAAAAGTAATGGGGCTAGGGGATGCCTTTTTGCAATATTCTCTCTACTTTTGGATAGATCTGAAAATGACCATAAACTTTTTAAAATGCCATTTGCATTTCCTTCTCTATGTATTTCTATGAACTGTCTTTGTATGTCCTTTATGAATTTCATTGCATGGTATTGACTTTGCATATTCATTTATAGAGCCTTTGGTACATTGAAGAAATAAGCCTTCTGTCATATTTTTAAAATTCAGTTTGTCATTTTAGTTTTACACATCCCCAAATTAAAACTTTTACATTGCCAGATTCATGGTCTTTTTTTTCCTTTTTTTTTTTTATAGCTTAGACATGTTTAAGTTTAGCAAAACCTTCTCCTTTCTGAGATATAAAACAATTCACACATGCTTCTCTCAAGTACATTCATGATTCCATTTTTACATTTATATTTTGATATAGCTACAGTACATGTGGACATCAAGAATAAGTATAGTATTTACAGATTAAATAATATAATTTATAGATCTGTTTAAAAAATGTGCACATGTGAGGGTATGAGTAGGAATACATGTGAAACAAAGGTAGGCTAGCTAATAAGTGAAGTGGAAGATTATACACACATATATATACACACACATATACATATATATGAAGGTTCATTTAACTTTTTTCTACTTTTATGAGTGAGATTTTCTGTATCATTCACTAAAAAAAAGTAAGTGATCCTTCTACTAGACAGTTCACCCTACACATTAACTATCCGATTTATTTCCAATGACTTAAAAGGCCACTTCTATCAGAAATGAAACTGCAGTATTTTAAAAATTTCTTTCAGAAGTAGACTTACTCTATTATGCTGTTCTATGTATACAATGATATGCCAGTACTAAATTTTCTTAATACTAATTTTACAATATTTTTAATATCTGAAAGTTTAGATAAGGCTTTTAACAAAAGATTAGGCTTTTAACAAAAAAGAATAAATTCCAAATTTTATAATGGCCTTAATTGGCATAATGAAAATACTTACATTTATGTAATTTGCATTGATATAGTCTTCATTACTCTTTAAAATGACCCGTGTAGCATCATCTGAAAAATTTTTTAAAAATGTTTGAATAAAGTTATGTTAAAAAGATTTAAATTTAACTTGCAGAGAGGGTAAATACTTACAAGGTGAAATATCTCTGTATCTATTTTTGGAAATGTTCTGAGGTAATTTGGCACAAGACATTGTCATTCCAGGTTTTTTCCGATATAGTTGCTAAAAAAAAAAGTACGAAACAGGAAGTCATCAAGAATTTCTGTTGTGTTTTCCAGCATGGTTTCCATACTAACAAGAAACAATCTTTTCCTCAGAATACTTCCTGCATACAATGGTGCAGGCTGGCAGGGTACTAAACCAGATTTGTGAACATGAATTTTTCAGTTTCTGATATAAATTATATATCATGTTCATAAAGACAGTGAAAACAGTTTTGATTACAGCAAAAGTTCCTGCAGGTTTGACTAGAAAATCTGTAGATAGTATCTATCTTTCATTTATTTTTAGATGTTTATATAAAATAAAAAACCTTTTACAAGGAAAATTGACACCCCTTTTATGTTTTACAGTCATAATAACTTATCTATAAAATATACTTCAGCACAACAAATATTAGTAATAGATAACTACTCTGACAAAATTAGAGGATTAAATACGACAAGGTGCACAAGTGGGTTTCATTTAACTTGGAATTTTAATGTCTACTTTAAAATCTCTATTTGTTATCTTTTATAAAATGTCATTATAGAAAAAAATTAGTTGGGTAATGTATAAAATCTCAGTACTCCTTTCTTTAAAGCAGACATATTTATATAGCCAAAGCTAGTATCTGGGGAGCAATTTTTAAAAACTTTGCATATTAGAATTCTTTATGTCAAACATTTCTCAGAATACCATTTTAGTTTATAGATTATAACAGATTAACCAGTTAAGAAACCATGAAATTAATTAGAAAATATGGGCAAATATCTTTTCCATATAACAAAATTACTTACATCAAATTGTGTCAAGACTGTTCCAGTGATAAGCCCCTCAGCTAGTTGTATCATCGACTCCCGGAGGGAATGGTCATCCTGATGGATGCTATCTAGTGGGGTTTTCTCAGGAATGTACTGGAAGTCTGGCTCATTTTCCAGTTTTTCTTCCACTACATCATATACAGCTAAAAAAACAAAGATAAAAAAAAAGCCAAATGGATATTTTAATGAATTAGTGAAGGGAACTGGCCAGTTATTCAATTTTGTGTCAGGAAAAGTAATTCATTTATTTATAATTCATCAGAGCTGAGTCTGCTTCCATGGTGTAGAGATGGAAAGGCTGCAGAGTTGTAGAACTTCACTATATTCTTGGAGGAAAGAAGGGTACTTGGCTGTATTGCTGAAAATGTCTATACCTTAAAGAGACATCAAGAAAAAGAAGCAGTTCTGAACATGTCTGTCTTTAATTTGTGGCTGCTAAAGACAATACAAATGGGGACTTACATATCACATGCATAGATATGAAGAGTTACAAATAAACTGAAGACTATTAAACAAAATATGTTCTATCCTCATTCTTAAACAGCTATAAAGCAACCTAAGAGGCCAGATTTTACATGATAAATTAGGTCAGAATTCATGGTCATGTAGTGTGAAGAGAACCAGACTTTAGATTCTAGCCTGCAGTACACCCTACTTCTTCTTTCACCTTCAGCTCCATTCTTTAACACGGGCGCTTATAGCGATAGGCAGGAATATCTGAGTTCATATGAAAGGTTGTTCTACACTCATCTGCAAATTGCTGCTTCTTATTCATACTGTCATGTCCATAACCTATGGGCATAGAGGTTGCAGATCTACCCTTTAGGTCAATGGAACTGGGGAAAATCACCACAGGGCCAGAAAATGGGGACAGAAATATTCTGACAGAGAACTGAAGGCTGAAAAAAGTTGTCTCTAAAAGGAACGGAAGGTCACAAACAATGCCTTGGAATGCCTTCTTGGTCCACAAATTCTTGACCCCAAAATCTTTGGAGAGGCAAATCTTGTGGAGAGACAAGTCTTAAGGAGAGCCAAAGTAGAGCCCTCTACAGTATGAAGTCAAGTGAAGCGTTTCTTTTGCCCTTGATGAAGAGGTATGGTTCTTGTACTTCTGATAACAAATTTCCCAAATGAGTGGAAAAGGTAACAATTCATGAATTCATTTTGTTTATGATGAAAAATAACTTAAAGGGGGAAAAACTCAGTAAAACTAGCTCCTCTCTCCCTGATAGTTTTGCAAACATAATTAAAATTTTTAATTATATGTTACTGCAAATCAAAACAGACACGACAGATCCACACTGAAAGTTAATACAGGTCTTTGATTCAATTTTGACCTAAAACAATATTAGAAATTTTTTTTTCAATAAAGAGGTGCAGAATATACAGTAGAAGTTAGGTGATTTGTAATTATAGAAAGGTCAGGTTTTTCCATCCTAAGAACTTCTGTTCATATTCTGGCTCTGTTCTAGTCATGAATTTGTGAACAGGCTACTGATTGTCTTGGTGCCTAGTTTCTTCAGTTATACAATGGAAATAATTCCCTTAGCTCACTGGATAGCTGTAAAAGTTGAATGAGAATATACAAAAAGACATTTTATAGATATATATATATATTTTTGATCCCCTTCCCCACTCCACCCCACAAAATGTCTCTGGTATATAGCTGTTCATCATTATCATTATTTTCTCGCCTGGTCCATTATATTCCTGCTATGAGAGAAACCATCCAGTATTTTTTTTTTCTTTCTGGCTTATTTCACTAAAATAAGCCAGACATGTGTTTCTTTTTTTTTGGTTGCTGAGTAATATTCCATTATGTATATGTACTACATCTTTTTTAATCCAGTCATCCATTTGTGGGCATTTGGGCTGTTTCCATGTCTTTCCAATTGTAAATAAAGCAGCAACTATTGGCTATTTTTAATATTACTAAGTTCTATAGGATTTGTTATACAGAGAAAATAGAATAAACAAAATTGAGATAATTTTTGGCATAAAATTTAAGATATTTAATTTGACAAAAATCCCTAATAATGGATCACTTAAATGAATGAATTCCTTGAAGTGAATGTTCCATTCTTTGGATTTTTTTCCCAGAAAGTCAATTCTAGACCAAGAACACAAAGTAGAAATATAAAAGAAAATTTCCTGTTTGTACTAGTGGCAAAATAAGAGTTCTGTGTTTTTCTTAAAGGAGTTTTCCAAAAACTTTTCAGTTAGTTGAGGTGAGAAAATAGGTACAGTTTTTTAATTACATTTTACTTCCTATAGTATTTATTCAATACTTGTAACATGGCATTAACCAATAATTAGTCTTGCGGCTAAAACTACTACTAATAGTACTGATTGTTCAGAACAAAATTTGAGCAATATGTAGTAATGCTGCATTCAGGCATATAAGACTTTTTCCTCAGAAAAAAATGACAGTCTTGAAAGAATTTGAAATAATGCCATACAATACTCATTAAAGGGTTTAGAATTATTAAGATGAAGAAAGGGCAAAGGTTTCTGCTAAAATTAGTTATTATAGAAAAAACTGAAAATTAGAGCGTGAATGTATTCTACATTAATTCTGCAGCATGATAAAATTAGGAACAGTAGTACCAAATAAAGATGACACTTTAGTTCAATTAATTAAAATGGTTAAAATTATTTGAAGAGGGGATGAACTGCTTCAGGATGCACTAAGTATAGACAATAGCAGGATGCTGTCACAGTGGAAACTCAAGCAATGAACAAAGTAGCTAGAGCTTAATGAGATTTCTCCACACCTATATTTCAGAGTATGAATTAACAAGTCAGCTGTCCAGAGCAGGAGAGGACATTTGGCAAGCAGGCTTTCGCTAGTGAAAGCACAGAAAGGGTCACAGAAAAAAATATTTGACTAGCTTGCTTGGCATTTTCTACAAGAAAACAAAACTCAAAATTATTATTCAACAAGTATTATTAAGTACCTACTACTTACTAGACTAGAGGGTGGTGGAGGCTATTTTGATTACAGTAGTTAAGAAGGTCTTCCTGAGGGCTCAATCTTAGCAGATAACTGAATGAAGGAAGAAATAAGTCTTACAGAATTAAGAGGAGTGTTGCAGGCCGAAGGAACAAAGGCTATATTCGAGGATAGTAAAAAGACTCATAGGGCCCTCCCTGGTGGCACAGTGGGTTAAAGCACAGCACTGAGAATCTAAAGCCACTTCCGCATGAGTTCGATTCCTGCCTGCCCTGGAGGTGACCACATGGCGCGGCAGACCTCTCCTGACCCGCCCGCTGCTCCCCTCAGCAGTGTACTTTGTCGATCTGCCTGTTCTGTTCCCCACTCTGTCTCTGGTGAAGCCACTCACCGCCCCTGAGCCTCTGGCCTGTACCCCAGTTCTGTATGCACAAATAAATAAATCTTTAAAAAAAAAGACTCATAGGAAGGGGCACCAAATATTTGACTTTTGCTCCAGGTATGGTTGCAAGCCACTTTGCTTTAAGCATGAAACCACCATGACATAATTTATGCTCTAAAAACTCATGCTGCCTGCTGTGTCTAGTAATAATTAATAATGAATTATGAAAAATATCCAATATGCTACATAGATTACTTACCGTTAGGCCGAACTAAAAGCACAAGTTCCCCAGAATGTCTCTCACAACTAGCTTTAATAAACAGGACAACCTGATCGTGGGTATGTTCCGCAATATCCCGACCATTGATCAGTACAACCTGGTCCCCTTCATTCAATCGAGGGACACAGAGGTCAGCCTGTAATGCAATGCAAATAAGGTCTGAGATGGTACATTGTATTCTGAAGTAAAGCGCAGGAATCAGCAGAACAACAAATACTACAGAAAAGCATCTTGTAATCATCTGCTTTTAAAAAAGAAATTTGGTTTTTCCATGAAGATACTATTTTCCCTATCTGTCCTGCTACATGTCTAGACATCCAGGTAAGACTAGTAGTGTCAAGGTGCATATACACAGGAGACCCTCACAGTTCAGATCAGTTCAAATCAGTTACGGTATACCATTTACCTAAATAACACCATTCTCCCAATAACATGGTTCAGATTTCAGTTTCTGTGATCTATTAATTGAGAAAAATTGTGTAAAGAACATACTTTGCTACTAGCTCATCAGTCTACAAACTACAGAAATAACAGAGACACATCATTATGGGTGATGAATCACATTATTTCTTTCAAAGTCTTTTGGTGATCTGTCACTGTGCTTCTGTTTATCAGTATATGCAGAGACAGAAAAGCAGGTACTTGTGTTGCTTACTTATCTACCAGTAATAAACCCATGTAAAAATGGGCATAAAAGAGGGAACATTAGGGTTTAAAATTTAAATTGTAGCAAAGAAACAAAAAGTGATAGTGCAAGTGAAATTCTAATTGAACATAAATGGAGTTACAGAAGATAGAGTGGATGATGGAAACATGAACACTACTACTGTTTGAGACACTAGTTATAAAGAAAAGAATTTCATGAAAGAGAACTTATTTATTGACATAAATGAGAACCATAGCTGTGATGAGAACAAAGAGGGTGGTGGCAAAGATCTTTAAGGAGACATTTTTGTAATATTTACCAGTGTAAGAAAGAAAATTCTCATTCCATTTTAGGCGCTAAAAGAAGGAGACAGGTACTATTTAAATTACTGCTGATAAGCTTTCACTTGATTCCCAATGGAATATTCATATTGAAGAAACAGAGGTAAAAGAGTGACTGATGATTTTTTAAATTCTTGCCAGATATCAGACTGCATCCTTGTCCTTGAATTTTGTGAGGTACCTCTATATACAGTTCTATGATAAATTTTGGATTTATGCTTAAGCCAGAGATATTCCATAAGTATCCTGTTATTGCAACCAACAAAGTCCTTAAGAAGCAGAATGAAAACTATGTATTATGAAATCCTTGATCAATACTGATTATGATCTACAAACCAACTTTGAGGTTGCTGCAAAGTACTAAATAAGTATAAATATCTTTCTCTCTGACTGCTGGTTCATGCCCTTTCTTAGGCATAGAGGATTAAATCATAAAAGGTACTGATTGAAAATCCTTGAAGATCATTTAGATAAGAAAAATCAAAGTTGACAACAATATATATATATAGGAATTCTGAGTAATATTTGTTAGGTATAAGAGCAATAAAGCACCACAATTAATTAAAAATTGTCCTTATATTAAACAGAAAGTTCACAAATGCTAAAGATGAATGGTAAGTACATTAAAACATAACATGTTTTCTCTACTTTCCTCGTTTAGACTGTAACTAGGCTTAAAATATTGTCCACTGGTTATCATTTCTGTGTAAAGTAGAATTTTAAGACAAAAGTAGGCAAAGCAAATGTAGATAAGAAATTCTAAGTGAAAAAACAAGCAAACAAGAAAGCAAAACAAAACGTACCTTTTCTCAGCTTTGTGGTTAAAAGAATAATGATGATAAAATCTGTTAACACTTTTGGAAGCACTATAAGTCAGAAATAGCTACTTTGCAAAATATAGACAAGGAATAAATAAAAAAACTAAATTCCCAACAATTTAAGTGATTCAATCAACAACTTTTGACTCTTTTAAAATTAAATTTAAAAGATTAAATTTCTTCCTTTACTTAAACTAATAAAATACAAGATAGTACATATTCTTGAAAATAGAGATTTTACTTGCAAGATTTAGAAAACTCACAGGTGTTCCTGGAGCTACTCGGGACACAATCACAGGCATTTTCTGATCATAACCTCCCTTAAAGCAAAGCAGATAAACACAGTCAAATACTACCAAAGTTGGAATATTTTTACTGTAAAATTTAATACAAATTAATTCTAGATTACCTTTACATTGAATCCAAATCTTCCATTTTCATCGGGCTTCATTCTGATTAGAACTAGATTATCATGTGGAATACCTCCATTAGGCTTAAAAAGACAAAAATAAGTAACTTTTAATTTTAACTATAGTTTATCCTTCAACTAAATATACATGAAGCATGCTTTTGTATGTTAATATTATTTGTAGTATACCAAGAATCATAATTCTAAATAAAATGTTGATTCAGGGAAGTAAGCTTCAACTAATCACCTGCAATTAAATTAATTTCTTATACTTTCTTGCCACCATATGCGAGGCTAAAAGTGGGAAGAGGAACACGTTGTGATAATTAATATCTTAATATCCCTAGAACCTGGATTAAGCTTTGTAGATAGCAAGTACTCATAAATGTTGGATGAATTCACATTACTACTCTGCTTTTTAAAAAGTTTTTGAGGGCCTTCCCTGGTGGCTAAGGGTTAAAGTGCAATACTACGGAGCTAGCCTAGCCCGAGGCAGCCCCAGCCCTGAGCAGCTAAAGCATGAGTTGGATCCCCAGCCAGGAAGCTGACCCCCATGGTGCAGCAGACCTCAACTGTCTCACCCACTGCTCCCCTCAGCAGTGTACTTCATAGATCTGCCTGTTCTGCTCCCCACTCTGTCTCTGGTGAGTCCTCTCACTGCCCCTGCACCTCTGGCCTGTACCATAGTTTTATATGCACAAATAAGTTAATCTTTAAAAATAAAATAAAAACAGCTTTTTGAGATATTCGCATACCATACAGATGACCCATTTAGGGGTATAGTATCCTACTCTATCACAGGGTTGTAGAAATATCACTACCATTTAATTTTAGAGCATTTTCATCATTACCCTCAAAAACCCAATACTACCCTCCCTCCCCCGCCAGTGGTGCAAAGGGTTAGGACTCAGCATTGAAAGCTAACACAGCTGCTTCAGTGCGAGTTCTATGCATTGCCCCAAAGGTGGCCCACATGGTGCGGCAGACCTCTCCTGACCCGCCTACTGTGCCCCTCAGCAGTGTACCTCATTCATCTGCCTATTCTGCTCCCCACTCTGTCTCTGATGAAGCCTCTCACTGCCCCAGCACCTCTGCCTTATCCCCCAATTCTGTATGCATAAATAAATAAATCTTAAAAACAAACAAAAAACCCCACTACCATTTGTAGTCATTCCCCATTCCTTAAATCCTATTCAACCTTAGACTGAGACTATTCTGGATATTTCACATATATGAAACCTACAACACATGTTCATTGCTACTGACTTATTCACTTAACATGTTTTACACCCGCTCTTGAAAAACTAGCTAATTCTCACTGATCATTCAAGACACAACTCAGAAATGATCATTTCTGAGACGTGTTCCCTAAAGTCCACTTTTAAATTAGTTATTTTCATATCTGATTCCCTATAATCACTTCTAATTATAGAATTTTTATTACTGTCCAATTGTTTTCCTTTTTGGCTTTAGATTCCATCCCTCTTCCACACTCAAGGAAGTTATAGTAATTTTCTACTCTTTTGCACTATCCATTTCTCCTGTTCTTTTAAGAAATAACCTTATTTCTTTCTCCATTAAAAAAAAAAAAAAGCCTGAAATTCACATCTACTTTTCTCTCCTTTTTCTTGCTGTTAAACTTCTTGAAAGAGTTGTCCATAAATGTTGTTTCTATTTCTTCTAACTTCATCATCCTAGAGTCAAGCTATTTTCCCAGCCAGAACTGCTATACCCTAAGGCCATAAAAGACATTCACATTACTAATGCAGCATTCAGTTCTCCTCCCTCTTCTTACTTGACTTATCAATAACATCTGACAGAGTTGGTCACTATCTCTGTTCTTACAGCCAGATGTCTACTTTTAGTTGCCAAAGATGCAGACCTCTCAGTCTGAATCTTCTCAGGTTCTTTTGCTGGTATTTTTCATTTCCTTCATATTTACAATTTGGAAGATCAAAGGCTCAATTTCTAGAACACTTAGGTATCTATACATATCACACAAACTTGATGCTTTCTTTCTTTCTCGTGGTTTAAAATGTTGTCTATATGTCATCAACTCTCAGTATTGTAACCATAGTGATTCCCCGGTGTTCCCTGACCACGTCAGTCATACGCCTACTTTTGTGCCTACTATTCACTCAGCTTCCTGCTCTTCCACTAAATATCTACATGGCTAATCACTGAGTTCATCCCCAGCTGACACTTTCTAAAATTACAGCACTCTACTTTGAAATTTCTGCTTTATTTCTTTTCCCTGGCATTTATACTAGCTAATATGATAAATATGTGCATTATTTACTTTCTTTACTGCTAGTCTTGCCCTTATTCCTAACATATAAGTTCTTTGAAAGCAGAATGATTTGTTCTTTCTCATTTTATTCCATTATACCACCAGAGTCTATAACTTTGCATGGTACATACAAATACTCAGTAATGTTGGATGAATGAACAAACAAAATAAGCTAGAAACTATTGAACTTTGTATTCCTACTATCCAATAAAGTACCTTGAACACAGATTTCAATAACTGTGAACCAGTTACTAAATGCATGAAGTAATGATGCATGAGAATCACCACAGGGTGGCGCTAAAGTTGTCATTTATTGTTGGAAAGCATCTGATTTATTTCTCATGTGTCTGTGGTGGTGGAACAGTAAGAATGGGAGAATACAGTGGCCACCTCTTACTTTTCAATTTTAGATAATATGGAGGGCTATGGGTGAATAAAATCAAGAGAACTTCAAGTACAATAGCCAACAGAAACTTTTTGTGCTGAATGCTATTAATACCTGCTCTGGATCTCTATTCCTGTATTTTATTTCATTCCCTGACATACCTTCAATGTTTCCTAAAATCTACCCTATTTTTGTCTGCCTTTATACTTCTTCGTGAACACAGTAGCTTCATAACATTTATTGGCAATCTTACTTTTGGCTTATTACATCTACTTGAGAAAGCAATGAATATTCATAAACCAAAAGATTCCAATAATTAACAATTTGTGGTGGTAAAAGCACCAACTCTAAGAAAATGTACCAAGATAAATCCTAACTATATTTTGTACAACAGAGAACGATCATGTATTCCAAGGACATGTACTTACTTTCTAAACCGTGATGAAAATTCTAAGTTCTTTGAGTTCAATGAAATATATAAAATATGTAGTAAAATTAATGGTATTAAACTGATTACTAGCATTAGTCTTGCTTATGTGTGTTTTACAAGACTGCATCACTTAAGTTTATCATAGAGTAACTTCTAGAACATTTAAACAGTGACAATAAAAGTGAATACGTGATAAGAGGCTCATAACAATGGATAATTTGTGAGCAGATATAAGGTAAAAAAAAGAAAGTTTGGTAGTATAATTTACAGATAAAACATGCCAACACACAAAAGAAATGTCATTAATGATTAAAAAATTTCAAAAACGTGAAAGTCTTTGAAGAAACTACTTACGGTAGATTTTTCAGGGGAAGATGGAACATCAAATGTTTCACTGATACTGTTTTCCAGATCTTGTTGAGAATGTGAACAATGAATTTGGTTCCAACTGTTTTTCTTTGATTGTTTGGGTGGTAAAGCTGGAGGTTGTCCATCTCCAGGGGTCTCTGGTGATCTAGATAGGAAAAAAGGGGGAAAATTATTTCAGAAGTTGTCTTAATTGAAACAAGGAAAATAAGAACCTGTTTTTTAAGGTTCTCAGTGGAATCATGGGTACTTAAGAAAAAAAGCAGGTAAAGAAATCAGAATGGAGAGATGAGTCATTTCACAGCTAAAACACCTGGGACAGTCTAGAGAATGTTAACGACTGGCCCAATGTATTTAAAAATAAAACATGATTAATGAAAGTAATGACTTCAACAGTGCAACAAGAATTAGAATCTGAGAAAGGGTGCTGAGATCATGTAAGAGACAACTGGATAAGAAACAGCCAGAATATGAGTCAGGGAGAGGAAACAAATGTAAAATTAATATTAGAGAGCCTCAAATTTATAGCGGTGGTACAGAAAGCTAGGTGTGACAGGGTAAGTTCAAGCTAAAAACTGTAGCTAGCTAGTTTTCTTTCTTTTTCTTTTTCTTGTTTTATATTGAAGCCTCTAAGAACACACACATAGCATAAGCAGTAAAACTGTGAGTTTTCCACCAAAGGCCAGAAGGGGCAATGAAGTGGTTCAACTTGTATCTGAGGAAGAGCTGAACAATGGAAGTTGTAATTTAGGAGACTAGACAAGGGGAAAATGGTTCTTAATAAGAGCACTGATCATAATTAGGCTTATTTAGATTAATTAGACCCTTTGATATGGCAAGAGGGCCTTCTGGGAAGGAAATAAATGAATGACTGTCCCACTACCAGATGACAGATAAGAGAGTTGGTAGATGTTTTATGACTGCTGCTATGGTAATCAGGTACAGATTTCATCTTTTTCTGCTTATTTTTGTTAACTGACACCAGATACCTAACAAACAAGCTGCAATTTTTTGAGGAAGTGAAACTGTATCATGGTCAAAAATTATTCTCTATTCCTCTCTGGTCGACAAGCAGGCTTGGACATGTGACTTGAAGTCTGAGTAAAAGTGGTAATTATCACTTCTGAAAAGAAGCCATAAGAAACAGCTTATTTTTCTCTTTTTCATTGGTCATGAGGCTAGCAGTCATGATCAAAGTGGGGATTTCTGTTAGACTGGGTAAAGAAATGAAGATAAAAATGGAGCAGATGCAGTTGCTATATAATGTATATAAATGTAATAAAGAAAGCATCTGTTCTATAACACTGTAGGTGGGGTAGTTTGCTACTGAAGCATGAGGTAGCCCAAGATAACTGACACAGTGATTACTGACAGAATAATTTCTGGAGATCTATGTCCTCCCTTGGAAGATAAGCTGAGAACAAACTTAGAGGTTTGCAACTAAATACATGATACAGACGTGGATAGACAAGAATCTAATGCCAAGGAAATCAGTTAGGATTAATGATGAGTGGTGTATCTGTATTGTCTTTCAGGGAGGTTTCTCCTGGGACAGAATATAGGTAGTCTTTTGAAGATTTTATAATCTAGGGTAAAATGTAATAAGGAAGCAAATAATGCCTACATGGCTTTCTATGCAGAAATCTTATGGGCACAAAATGCTCTAAATTGTTACATCTATAAGGGCTGCGTTAAAAATTCCACATCTCCTTTTTTAGCAAAAATTCTTTGAGTTCTACCCTGATGGCCAGAGTTTTATGTCACAAACATAATAGTTTTATTCTGCTTGTTCCAATTGCCAAGGACCTAAGCCACTAAGACCCAATACATTCAAGTACTTTGGTTTAGAAAGATTCCCACAGGTCAGAATAGATTATGTACCTCAACCATGGACTAAAGAAAGGAATTAAAGCAGATAAAGATGGACATTCGTTGCAGAGCCGCACAGATGAGAGTTTTAAAAAGCAGTTGTTCAAAAGCACCCATGGTTTTTGCAAAAGCCAGAAGTCACTGTATACCACATATTCACCAAGCAACAGGTCTCAGCCCCTGTTTAGGACTAAGTTTAACCACACAGAAAGATGAATAGAAACTAGAAACTGCTTCCTATTCTTCACACAGGAAACATTTAGTTTCCACACTAAGGGAAAGTAGAAGGTTAAGACCAGATCAGAATGGACTCCGAGCAACTTTTTTTATTCTTGGTCCAGCTAACATCTCAATATATTGCCAAAATATAAAACATGAACAAACTCAGGTTGCCCAATCTGCAGTGCAATCCCAGTGCCAAACCCATGGGTTAGGCAAACCAGTGGAAATGTCCGGTTATAAGAGAGGGTCAGTATCGACATTATAGGATATTTTGTTGAAATTTGGCTTCACCTGAAATTTTGATTTAGGAATTGCACATAAATAGTTTTTTTTAAAAAAAAAAAAAAGTGGTGCTTTTCATGCACTTGTGATTAGAAATCAGTTTTAGAGTAGTGGTTGCAAAATCATGGCTTGTGTGAGTCAATTCTGACCAACATATATTTGGTCTACTACTGTTTGTGTAAAATGTAAAAATGACTACATTTTAAAAATGACAAACAAATCTAGATTTCCAGAATGAGAAATCTGGAAAGAACTGTCCTGCATTATAAGTTGTCAACCACTGGACAAAGTCAAGCTGTAGTTGCTGTTGCCTTCAGACAGGTCACGAATATTCCAGTGTCCAGTGTTACTTGCCAGACTCCAGTGGGTATTTGAGTATAACTTGTCCTTAAAACATTCAAAGTTATCAGGAAGATAGAGAGAGGATGATAGCTCAACAATACAGACTTGGGTTGGGATTTAAGTAAAAAATCTAAAGAAGAAGTGAGGAGACTGCATGCAGACTAAGAGGCTTAGACAAAACACAGCACAGGAAGGGACAATACAAGTTTGGATTTTAGCAAAGGAATAACCTAACTTCTCTGATTGCTTTATGTAGCTTTCGTTTTAAATTACCTTCTCAGACTCCCAAGGACAGGCTTTCCCGATCCCCTTAGGTTAGGTGTGGGGAGCTGTTACCATCAAATTATATATTCTTCCGATAATCCCCTATTTCCAAATTTAAAACAAAACTCCTATTTATCAGTCAACTAAATAATCTCTGCTGTGGAGTGAATTCAGTTTAGTAAAAAAGAAATTTATTAATGAGGTCATTCAGAGCCAAAGAGAACCTGAGCACAGAAACCATTATCAAGGAAACCATTATCATATTTTTCTGAGTGACTGATTCTCCTGACCTTGAAGTTTTGGCCTCCCTTTATATAGCTATGCTGCATGCACAAAAAGAAGACACAATAGCTTTTTTTGCTAGCAGAGGAAAGAAGACATTTAGTTAATTATATTTTCAGTTAAATAAAGGAAGTTGCTTTCTAATATAAAAAGTTAATTGATAAAGAAGAAACACTGTTCATAACTTGAATGCAATCCCTGGATTGTACAGAGCTAATATTGCCAGAGATATCTGTGCTTGGGAAGATGTAAGGACCAAAGGTTATTTGAATAGCTTATCCTGAAAGTCCCTATAGACATGAGGGCCTACTCAGGAATTTTGCACTCCTTCCAATAACTCACAAATATGACAGAGGATGAGATATCTGCACTTTCTGAACGTTTCTTGTCAGAGAATTTTTCACAGTGAACAAAAGTTATTGTTCTGCTGACTCAGTCTCCAGAGGTAGCCCTGGCAGGAAAGGTGGACATATTCCAACATAGTAAAATGCAGTTTTCTTTTCTTGATCCACTGTTTCCTTTCCCTTTCTCTCTCCACATACCACACACACACACACAGTGTATAAAAGTAACCAAGGATGTAATAGCTTTCTGAAATTTATTTTTTTTTGGCAATTACATCTTTAAAATGTTTTCCAAAGTTTAATCTAATTTACTATAACAAATAACTTTCTTCTGCGTAGCTAATGTAAAGATATAATAGGCACTCACGCAAACAATTACCTTGGAAGATGAATTTCATAGGTAAACCATATACTAGAATTAGAAATTATAATATATGTCACAAAAAAAAATCATGTCACTAAATAGCTCAATTCTAAAAAAAGATACTTTTTTAAGCCTCCAAAACCCAAAAATAAAAACAATAGCCAAATATAACTGATACTAAAGAGAGGCAGTGTAGTAAAAGACAGGCCCATTAGAAATATTTAGCACCCCAAGAGAAGGGACCTACAGAGCTAAAGAAAAATCAGCATTTAATCAGGTGGTTTAAACAAAATTAGGAAAACAAAAAGAACCAGGGATTAGGGCTTTGACTAGGGTCTTACAAATAAAGCTAATCATTTAACTTTAAAATGGCAACTAGGAAAGACCTGTTGGTTATAGGGAGAGTACAGAAAAAAATGTAATCCCAGAGGGATTGTTTTAGTCACTTATAAAAAAAAAATGAGAATGGTAAAGATTCAAACTTTCATTGAAACATAATGTTTATAAGATTAGAAATCAAAAATCAAATTCTTGGAAGACATTAATACAAGCCTAACAGGAATGAAGGAATGATACCTTCCTTTAAAAACTCTTCTTAAAAGAAAAAAAAACTTAAAAAATATGTATTATTTGTAATTGAAGCAACACTGTATTATAACATTACAAGATTCAAATGTTTATCATTGGGAGTGAACGTGTATATACCACATGGGTTCACTACTTAAAAGTCCTACCTTTCATCATACATTTTTCCCCCTTTTCTTGATTTACCATTTGGTAACCCATTAACTTACAGTTAAAACTTTAATTTGGAAAAATGCTTACTTCCTAAGAGTTATGTTTCATTCAACTACAATCGTTGGTACCATTTGAGTCTTTAACCCTATTATATTTATGTTACATAAGATACAGATAAATTGTGGTTCAATATTTTGGTTTCTTGACACTTTGGCAAACTTATAGTAATACTCTTATTGCTAATAAATAATATAATAATATTTAAATATAGAATATTGAAAAGTAAACAACCACCAAACTGAAAAGATTCTGCACAACTAAAGAAACTATCAGCATGACAAAATGACACCCAACTGAATGGAAGAAAACATTTGTACATCGTATGTCTAACAAATGGCTGATATTGAAGATAAAGAACTCATAAAACTCAGCAACAAAGAA